CAGCCAGAGGCTACCGTGGGATGGGGACCCATGGGGACGCCCCCTTGCCTTTCCTGGGGGTAGCATGGGGAAGACTCTCTGGGCAGCTTAGCGGGGCGTAGGAGTCAGAGGAGCAGCTGCTGGTGACAGGGGGTGAATAGGGGCTCCCAGGGGGCCAGGTACCGTGGCCCAGAGCCCAGGAAGCAGTGGGAAATGGGCTTCTGGATAGGAGTGGCCAGGCCTGGCCTAGCTGGGCCTGCCCACGTGGAGGGGCCTCTGCTCTGTACCGAGCCCGTGCTCCAAGCCGTGGCTGTGAGCAGTGGTGCTCTGACTCCACTTCCCTCCCCGACTTCTCTCACTAACAGGCTGTCATCTACCCACAGCAGCGACAACCGTCGGGATCACCTGTCTTCCCAGCCCTGCAAGCCCAGAGGCTCCCAACACCACTGGGCTGCATCCAGGCCTGGGCCCGGCACAGGGCGCCTCGGTGACCTGCCCGCCTGCCCCCACCCTCCATGTTGGTATTAACGGGGGACTTGGGAGCCCCACCCCACCAGGTTCTGGACTGAGAACTGGTGCACTGTCTCCCACAGTCACCGCACAGAGAAGGTGTTGAACCCCTCCGTTTTATAAATAAGAGGGTGGCTCACACAAGGCCTCCGTGAGTGCTGGGGCAGTGCACCCAGAGCCCAGGGTCCTAATTACAAGCTGTGCCCTGTCCTTTCTGGCCACTGACTCACCTTGGTCCCTGCAGGTGATGTGCTGGGCGTTTCTGGACACTGTCACGTCATCTCCCCCGCTGGGATGACTCCACAGCCTTGGGCCCACCAAGAACCTCCTCTGCTGAGGCTGAAGCCTGGCCTCCCGGGCTCCAGGCTGGCTCGCCCCCCACCCCTGGTCCCTCTGCCCTTTCTCTCTGCCACAGCACGGCCCAGCGTTGACACCGTCTGACATGAGGGTCAGGGCATCCTCCTCCACCGCCGTGCTCCTGGTCCCAGCACAAGTCTGGCCCTGACTGTCCTCAGGCTCTGCTTCCCAAGCAAAGCCTATTTGGACCAAATATTGGCTCCTGTGCAGGAGCCCAGAAAATCCTGTTGAACGGCATAGGTTAAACACATGTTATTCATCACCCCTTATTCCAAAAGCCACAGACATGACAGTACTGGGATAAG